CCTACATGACAGGTCACAACTGTCTGTAACTCCAGTGCTAGAAGATATGATGTCCTGTTTTGGCTTTTATGAACACCAGGTACACATGTGGTATATAGACATATGTTCAGACAAAAATGTTCATACACATAAAAACAAATAAAATTGAGAAGAAAAGCCAAACAAACAAGCAAAGACAGCCTGAACACATTCTCTCATTAATGTTATTTCTCATTTACATACAAATTAACACACATGTTTATCTACTACTGTTTTGTGTCCATGTATAAGCAGCATTCATGTACATGTAGATGTATCTGTGTTTCAGAGATTTCACTGTACTTCCAGAACTCATTTATTGAAATATTTGCCTTATACTACATCTCTGTACACATTAACCAATGGAGATACACTACATCAAGACACAGCTTGTGTCACCAGAGACCAGTGTGACTAAGCCATGAAAATAGCAGGTAAGGAGCTGAGCATTTGGGAAAACTGCAGAAATAAACATTTCTATGGTCTAAGAAGGTGGTATGCTGGCTAGTGTTTTGTCATCTTGACACAAGCTAGAGTCCCAAAGAAAGAGGGAAGCTCAACTGAGAAAACATCCCCACTAGTTTGGCACGTAGGCAAGCTTGTGGTGCCATTTCTTAATTTGCTGTTCATACGGGAAGACCCAGGCCAGTGCAGGAAGTGCCACCCTTGGAAAAGCAGTTCTAGAAGAAAGCTAGCCGAGCAGGCCTTGAGAGTAAGCCCATCAGCAGCATTCATTCCTGGCTTTTGCTTCAGTTCCTACCTCCAGGTTCCTGCTTCAACTTTCCTGAGCAGTGGGTTACAAGGTGTAAGTTAAAATAAACCCTTTCGTCTCCAAGTTGGTTTTGCTCATGGTGTTTTGTCACAGCAATAGAAACCCTAAGTAAGACAGTAAACCCAGGTATCTGTCAGAAATAGAATTAGTTGATCTCTGCCCCAATATTAACTGTGGACCTATGGAAAATTGATGGCTTCTAGGGGACTAGAAGTCAGTTTTCTTTAAGGGTGTGTTTTTTGGTAGGTAGACCACACACCAGTGGGTGGCCCCACATTTTGAAGTATATGGACAGAGCACATGGGAATCCATGGACTAGTAAACGTGAAAGGAGAAGAGACATAGAACTGGGCAGGAAAAAGTTGGGGGTGGATCTGCAACAAGTAGGAATGAATATGGTTAAAACACACTACATGGAATTCTCAAAGAATTGATAAAAATGATCTAAAACAAACCAATGACTCACCATTTTATTGTCAGTTGTTGCCTCTGACATTTTCCCTATGAAGGTGAACACTTTAAGCAATTGATAGTTGCTGTAAGCAATTGATGGTTGGAGAGAGCTTTGCTGGGTAATCAGCTAGGGTAGTCCGTAACCAAGAAGAACATTACTGTTGATGAGTTTACTCTGAGAGTTGAATGTCTGGGTATTAGAGTTATTTCCCATTCTGTTTCTGTGATATAAAAAAAGCTGTAGCATGAGTAATAAAAACCCAAAGACCGATATTGGGGTTCAAGCTGAAGATCTGAAAATCAAAACAGCCAAGCCACTAGAGAAGTCTTACCTCTACCAAGGCTGGATGACTGCAGACTGAGTCCTGAGTCCCTTAGTACTGGGATTAAACACTTGAGCAACCACCATCTGGATCTACTTCTGCATTGATCCTGTATATCTTGAACTCACAGATATCCATCTGCCTCTATCTCCCAAATCCTGGGATTAAAGGTGTGTGACATGACTGCCTGACCTCTAGTGGTTTAGTTTTACCCTCTGATCTTCAGGTAGGCTTTACTTATTAAAGCATAAATAAAATATCTTTATAAAAACAAATTAACAACAACAAAACAAGCAAAACAGTAAGACCAAAAACAATTTAGGGAATAATTTTCAGCTTCATATGGAAAACAACAGCAACCAAAAAAAAAAAAAAAGCAAACAAAACAAACACCTCAGTATAGCTATACACTTGTGAATGATAAAAGAACTTCTGGAGACATCACCATGCCTGACCTCAGCCTGTGCTGGAGAACTATAGTAATAAACATTGCATGGTATTGGCATAAAAATGGACATGGTTATCAATGAATAGAATTGAAGACTTAGACATAACTCCACACACCTCTGAGAACCTGGGTTTTGTTAAATAAGTTGGAAGTACACGCTGGAGAAAGACAGCATTTTTCAACAAATACTGCTAGTCATATTAGATATAAACATGTAGAAGAATGCAAAGAGATCCATCTTTATCACTCTGAAAAAAGCTCAACTTCAAATGGATCAACCATTTCAACATAAAGTCAGAGACCCCAAAGACTAATCGAAAAGGAAGTGGGGACCACCCTTGTGCTCATTGACATAGGAAAGATTTCCTGAACAGGACATTGATAACACAGGCACTAAGAAAAATAATTAATAAATGGAACCTTATTAAAAGTAAAAGCTTCTATATGGCAAAAAACACCATCATTTAGACAAAGTTGTTCTAAGAGAATGCTTATTTGTTCCCAGCTGCTAAGCCCCAAAATAACCACACAGAAGCTGTATTATTTAAATCACTGCTTGTCCCATTAGCTCTAGCTTTCTATTAGCTAACTCTTACATCTTAATTTAACCTATTTCTATTAATCTGTGTATCGCCATGTGGCTGTGGCTTACATTCAAGTTTCCTATGCATGTCTGTTCCCAGTGGCAGCTTTATGGTGTCTCCTTGCCTCCACCTTCTTTCTTCCAGCATTCAGTTTAGTTTACCCTGACTACCTCTATTCTGCCCTGCCAGGCCCAAGACAAATTCTTTATTACCCGATCATATTCACAGCATACAGTGGGGAATTCCACATCACAAAGTGGCAGACTACAGAATGGGAAACGATTTTACCAACTATATCCAATAAAGTGGTAAATACACACACACACACACACACACACACACACACACACACGTACACACACATATTAAAAACTAAAAGGGCATGTTTATGTTTATCAAGAAAGCAGATAACTCATTTAAATGGAGTACAAATCTAAATGGAGAATTCTCAAAAGTAGACATACAATTGGCCAACAGTCATCAAGGAAATGCAAATCAAAATTCTTTGAGATATCATCTTACACCAGTCAGAATGGCTAAGGTCGATAAAATAAGAGAGAGCTCATACTGAAGGCGTGATATAAGGGAAGCATTCATACACTGCTGTTGGGAGTGCAAACTTGTACAGGCCCTAAGGAAAAACAGTGTGGAGGATCTTCAGGAAGCTGGGAATAGGTCTACCTCAGGATATGGCTATACCACTCCTGGGAATATACCTAGAGGATTCTGATTCCTACAACAGAGACACTGATCAACCATGTTCAGCTGGATACAGCCTAGATGTCCATCAGCAGTTAAGTGGAAGAAGAAAATGGAATATTACTAAGTAGTTAAAAAGACCCTCAAATGGGGTAGAGATGACATTATTCTGGGCGATCAGAAATCAGAGTGTCATATCCACATTTTGTTCAATTTTCTGGAGTTGTAGTCTTTCAGAATTAAAAAACTTAATCTATCTATCATAACATTAAAACAAGAATCAAACAGCTATCATGCTTGATGTTGACAAAAAAAGAAAGAAAAGGACCCTCAAATGATAAAATTTGCAGGGAAGTGAACAGAGCTAGAACAAAATCATCCTCAGATAGGTAAATCTGACCCAGACTGACAAATATGGTATGTTATTTGCTTATAGGTTGGTGTTAGCAGTTGTATATTATTACATTATTTCTTTGCGTGTGAATGTATGTGTTTCTGTGTCTCTGTTTCTTTTCCTTTGGCTCTCTTTTTTGTTTCTTGGTTCCAATCCTGTTTTTTTTTTTGTTGTTGTTGTTGATGCTGTTGTTTCATTTATCGTTGTAGATGCCTGCTTGTTTTCTTTTTTTTTCTTTTAAACACTGCCAGGCCCATTATCTGTAGCCCTTTATTGGCTAATTCTCACATCTTGCTTTAACCCATATTAGTAATCTGTGTAGCATCACAAGTTGGTGGCTTACCAGGAAAGATTCAGCATGTCTGACCTGGCAGCTGGCTCCATGGCATCTGACTCACTTCATTTCTTCCCAGCATTCTGTTCTGTCTACTCCACACACCTATGTTCTGTCCTATCAGGCCAAGCAGTTTCTTTATTAATTTACCAATGAAAGCAACAGATAAACAGATGACCCTCCTCCATCATTCTTGCCTAGTTTGGCTTGTACAAAGGAATTAATATCCTAAATTGGCCTGTCTTTTCTAACTGCTTCTTTTGAAATAACTTTAAGTTGCCAGGATTATGAAAGTAGTACAGGAGTTCTTTATGGTTAGTATGTCATCTCCCCATATTAAAATTTCCATGATAAACAGTTTACAGAAGACTTTAACCATTACATAATTTAAAATACCATGATTAATTTTAACCATTTTAGTGGAATTCTTTTTTTAATTTTTATTTTTACTTAAAAATTTTTACCTCCTCCCCTCCTCCCATTCCCCCCCCCACATCTCCCTCACCCTCCCTCCCTGTTCAAAGAGCAGTCAGGGTTCACTGCCCTGTGGGAAGTCCAAGGTCCTCCCTCAATCCAGGTCTAAGAAGGTGAGCATTCAAACAGACGAGGCTCCCAAAGCCAGTACGTGCAGTAGGATCAAAACCCAGTGCCATTGTCCTCGGCTTCTCAGTCAACCCTCCTTGTCTTATACATTCAGGGAGTTCGGTTTGATCACATGTTCTATCAGTCCCAGTCCAGCTTGCTTTGGTGGGCACCCATTAGATCAGCTCCACCAGGGAGCACTGGACTGAGCTCCCAAGGTCCAAATGAGGAGGGAGGACATGAGCAAGGAAGTCAGGACCGCAAGGGGTGTGTCCACCCACTGAGACTGTGGGGCTGATCTAATGGGAGCTCAACAATGCTTGTTATCTTATCGGAGAAAGAAAAATATAGTGTGGATTTGGGTGGGTGGGAAGATGGTGATTATCCGGGGGGGGGGGGTTGAGGGAGGAGAAACTGTGATCAGAATACAACGAAAAATTATTTACAATCAAAAATGCATGGTATATATAGGACATAGACTAAAACATCAATTGTTCATGAAAGAAAAATCGCCATCTAAAAGTCCAAAAAATATATTAATCATTGCCTACACAAAAACAATGCAGAGGCAACTGCTTTAACAATAGGTAAAGAAGGATGCTTAAAAAAAAATTCCACACTAGCTCAGAATTCAGAAATAGATGCTTATCTACTTAGGGGTAGACTCACTAATTAGAATTCTCTGCTTGAAAGGAGAACAGAAACCAAACCCAACAGCCAGAAAAAGGGAGCAGAGGCATCCTCTACATTGGTTTAGATAGCACAGGAGGCAATGCCCCACTGGGCAGGTAACCACTGGCTGTAGGACTTCCTACACCAAATAGGAAATGGAATTCTCAGACTCAGTATTTCTACATCCTGTTGAAAACACAGATTTCATTGTACCATTTTTCATGTTTTTGCTTAATATCATCAAGGATGTGTTTCATTGAAGATCCCAACTCGACGATACTGGAAACCCCACTTTCATACTCACAAATGAAGCCAGCAGTGTGCATGGCTATCAGTGACCCTTTAGAATCGAATACAGGAGATCCCGAAGACCCACAATAAAAAGTGTTATCCCAGGCAACCACACCAGGTTCATGGACTTTTTCCTGGAAACTTCTTTGGGTGTACATATAGATATACTGCATAGGATTCCTGCTACCCACTGCTTCTCTTCCACGAATATCCTCACATTCCCTTCTTTGCTTGCCTTCAGGCATCACAGTACAACCATCAACAACCTTATATTTTCCATCTGGATGACCAATCATAAACAGAAATCCACTAAGTGATTCAGAAGGTGTTCCATTACCGAGTCCTGTAGGGATGTGCTGTCCTCTTTCCTTCAGTTTCAGGACAGCATAGTCAAGAGTGACATCAGACACCTCAAACCAAGGTTCAACAAAATGATAGCTGTCTTCTTTGACAGGGAACACTTGAAAATCAAACGTCACTCTTATACACTGCCCAATTATATCTGCCCACTTACTTGGCTCTATGCCTTCCCCTACTACGTCATCTATTACATGTCGGCAAGTGAAAATGTACAGCCCTTTAAAAAGGAAGCAAGTAGCACTACCCCTGTTTCCATTGTTGTTCCAAACTATGAACCCAACTGAGTCACTGAGCTGGGAAAGAAGTTTGAGGACTTTACCTGGAATGGAGCTTTGGGTCAGCTTCCTGAAGTTTTCTCTATGTGCTTTGAGTAAGGAAGTGTTCTCTCTTTTCTCACTCTCTTCCTTGATGTATGTTCTCAGTTCTTCCCGTTCTCTTTTTAATGTGGGGTACAAATTCACAATGTATTCTTTTAATATAGTGACGTTTCTGTCCTCTAACTCAGATTTCTGAGTTGCCACTGCCTTCCAAGGGCTCTTCTTTCTCTCAACATCAATCTGAAAGAGCTTACCCTCTAAGACATCAACTGGCTGGCTGTTTGCTACGATGGTGTCATTGGTAATAAGTTTCCAATGGTCACTCTCTACAAAAGAGAGAAACCTGCCATCCTTCCGCAGAGTGGTCTTGATGGTCTCACCCTTGAAGCCATAGACACAGAGTTTGGTGCCCTCCTCGTGAAGTTCTCTGCACCTCAAAATCCTTTGCTCCCCATTCCCGACAGCATGAATGTAAAATACAACACACTCAACAGATGACTGGTCAAAGCGGCCACACACTTCATTGTCTTCTTTCTCCTCACTTTCAGTTTGGGAAAATGTAATGACCACATGGCTGCCTTGTGGAAAACAACGGAGGGGCATACCGAGGTTTATGTACCCTTCTATTCCTTCTTTGCCACACACCAGCATTTCTTTGCCTTCCTGTTTTTCTATCTCTCTTTTGACAAGGTCAAGGGTGTTCAGGGCCTCATATATGCTACGTGACCCCTTATCTGCTACCTCACTGACTGCATGGTTTACACCAAAGGTGATGGTAATTGTTGTATTTTGGAAAGAGTTCTGAACTCGTGGAGCTTGTCGATCCCTGTGTGATCTTTGGTCCTGGTTTTTGCTCACCTCCTTTGGTCTTTTTCTACATTCCATTTTCCTTTGAGAAATTATGGGATCATTCTGCTCCTTGGGGACCTAAAGAGAAATGATAGACACTTTAGAAAACTGTGACTACAATGGTATTCCTGTGATATTTTTGTACAATATGTGCCATATTTTCTCAATAAGCAGGCAGAAAGAGCAGAACTCATCTAGATGTCTCAAAATCTACCAGTTCCAATAGAAAGCATTTTATTTATAATTTGTTTATTATTTTAAACAATAGATTAAAATTTTTAGACATGAAAATTGTTTAGAAATCTTTTGTAATTTCTTTGTACATGCATGCACAGAACTGAGAGGAGAGTCTTACTGAATAACCATGGCTACTGTGGACCTAGATCTGTAGCCCAGGTTGGTCTCAAATTCACAATAGAAAGAACTGAGATACACTTTTGACTATTCACCAGACACTCCTAAAAGCACCAAGAGTGTCTGTGAGAGTGCAGGCCTGATGCATGCTGGGCCACTCATGTGGAGGGCAAAGGACAGTAGTGAGGAGCCAGTTCTCGTCACACATTCCAGGCATCTAAAACAGGTGCTTAGGTCTGTACTTCAGGTGCTCTCATTCCTTCAGCCATGGAAGAGACCATAGATACTTTATCCAAGAGTTCTGTTTTGAGTGTTGAGACACTGTATCCCAGACTGCCCTCAACGTATGATCCCCTTCCTTCTCTATTCAGAGTTCTGAGATTACAGGTATGTGGCATCATGCCTGGCCTGATACTTAAGAAAGAGAACAGGGGATTGTGTATGTGGATATTAGCTTGTTCATAACCACAAAGCTGGGGTGGGGGTCAGCGGAAACAGATTTAACCTATTCGTGGATATCTAGGTGTTTGGATCTTCTAGTTTCATAGAACATGGAATAATGAAAGTGAGCTGATGCCCTTGAAGGAGCATATCGAATGTCTGACCCTTTTCACCCTCTTTGCTCAGTTCAGAGAACCCTGTACAGACAAGATACTCAGTCTGGAGAGCACCTCAGGGAGCCTACACATGAAGCAGAGATTCTGGAAGCAAATCCTTCTCACAAGCCTATCAGGGTTATAGTAAGCATGAATGACACAGTCATTTCAGAAACTACAAAGTACTATACAGGTAAACAGTCTTAGGTTTAAGTCACACTCACAAAGACACTTCCACGCCAGGGAACAACACCCATTTGCTTTCCCCCCGTTTAATCTTACACAATGTATTTTATCTTTTTTCTCCCTTATTCCTACAGGCAGTATTATTTTCAATTAAGGGTATTTTGATATGGACTTCTTTTGTTTTATAATTCCTTTCCCCAGTGCCATCCGCCAAGCTAGAAAGAAGCAAATGGACAGGAAACAGAGTGTGTAATACTCCCAATTCACAGCCAGGTAGTTGCTTGGCAGGAAGAACTTTGTGATTGAGGATCAAGGATTGCTAATCTGCTATGGATGTGCAGACATACCTGAGAAAAGTAGCGCAGGATTTCCATGCTTTTTCTTTGCATGAAGGAGGATGTTCTGTGAGGTATGCCTCTAACAGCCAATGGACTAGACCTGAAACAGATAACTCAGATGAATTGCTAATTTCAAAATGGTTTCAAGCCATATCAGTATTGTCATAGGTGATGTATAGAGGGGAATATTTTCTGAGGTCCCACATCACACCTTCCCCCTCTGTTCAGTCTTGCTTCTCACTGGGTCATCACTTCATAGCCAGGAGTTTATCCATCCAGCAGAGTCACCCCAGAAATCAAATCAAGGTACCGCGTGTCAGGAACCAGAGCAGACACAGCATCAGCTATGTCTAACTGCTAACCCCACTGCTGCCATGGACAGCAGGTTCTAGCTAGAATTTGGGGGAGTGGGTATGTCTTTGGCAAGGACGGTAATGTGCTCACTGCTTGAAGCAAAGAGACAAACCAAGAGTAGATATTAATTCCAACAGAGGAGTGCAATCGGGAAACTCAAAAGAGTGTTTTAATTCACACTGATGCTAAAATATGGTCTTCCCTTAGAGTGGATATGTGAGGATGGTTAAAATACAGGGGGACAGGTGGGAAGAAAATGGGTAGGTAGTACCCTGAGAACAAAAGAAATTTAGAAGGACAGATGGAAAAGAAATCTTGAAAGTGATCCAAGATGATACTCAGGACACATAATTTCTACTTTAGAGTTTTCTTGTTTGCTTTAATGGTGGGGATGTTGTTTGTTATTTTGGTTTTTGGAGTATGTGTATAGATGCCTGTTTGTGTGTGCATGTATGTTTGTGTGTGAGAGTGAAGAAGTATGTGTTTACATCTACCTTTCCATGTGCTGTCTCTAAAAAGAAAAGGAATGTTTTAACAAAATAACTCTTTCAAGCACGAGAAATTGGTATTGTCGGCCTTATTTCACCCACAAAAACCATGAAATTCCAAAGGAGTTAAACTTTCTCTAAGAACAGAAACTCGAAAGAATACACTTTGGAGAGCTTTACTGTGAATGTTTTCTAACATAAACAAAAAGAGCAGAAAGAGCAAGAGACAGAGAAAACAAAGAGACGGAGGAAAGAATAGGTCACAATGAATTTTCAAATATCCCACCCATCATTAATAATTTTTTTTTCTTCTTCAGAAAATGTCTCCTGTAGCCAAGGCTGGCCTTGAAAACTGAATTTCTCATTTTGTCTCCTCCGAGTGCTAGCATCTCAGTTATGAGCTGCCATGTCAGGTGTGTGTGATGCTTAGAATCCAACCCAAGGCTTCATGCAAGCTGGACAAGAAGTCTACCATTGGAACGACCTCCAAGCCCCACACTGCCTTTTAATTGTATTAGATTACACTTAGAAGCACTGTGACATTTTAACCCTGTATCACGTTCCGTCTCTAAAAGTTCAGAAATATTTCCTCACAATAACAATGCCAGTTTATTCACATTAAATATTAACACAGTTATGGTACACATATCACCTTTCCAATTTTTTGGTTTTGTTTTGTTTTTCGAGACAGGGTTTCTCTGGCCTCAAATTTTGTAAGACAAGGGTTCCTGTGCTGTCTGGGATGGCCTCGGATAATTTTTTAAAAAACAAACATCCAAATGTTTCAAAATATGATAAAATAAGAATTTATTAAAAGGTACCATTACCTATAAAATAAAATGAAGAATTTTTGAAAAGCAATGAAACACACTGAAAATCTAACCCAATAATGCTTTTCTCACCTCTGCAGACAGCACCTGTACAGAAGGCTGAAGAAACAGAGAAACAGGAGGTTCTAGCTGGAGGTTGATAAAGTCCAACGTGGCCTCCAGAAACCTGTTGATAAAACCAAGCTAAACTTACCGCTATTGAGGCAATAGTTACTTAACAAATGTTTGTTCATGCTGAAGGAGAAGAGCATGGTTGAGGAAAGGCAAATAGATCTGGTATTCTAATCTCTGGTCTAACTCAGGCTGTAATGTGGAGGTAAGGGTATTTATAACAGATCAGAATTGGTTGAGTATACCAAACCCAGGTATTTGGGACCAGGGCTACAAATAAATACCTTTGATATTTTGCTTGAGAAAGCTACTGAAATAAAAGAACATCCCTGCCTTGGTGCATTTATGGTGATGGAAACGCATAACATAGCTAACTCAGAGTCAGGCTAACTGGGGCATAGGAAGCCAGCACACGTGGCTCCACCACCCGAGCATGCTGAATGTCTGAGAGAGGAAGTCAGTCTCTGTCCTTGCTCCCTACAGTTTTATGCTGGAGAGAAGCACAGACAGGAAACCACATTCAGGTCTGTTTGCAGCACACAATCAGACACCGGTTAGTTCATTTAAGGAGGCATTTTCAGAAAAAGAGCAGTGGCTACTACAGACACCAGTTTTTTAAACTAAAGGTATTCTTCCTTGAGCATTGAAAAACAAAAACAGAAACGTTAAATTCTTTCTTTTTTTTCTTTTACTCTCCCAACAACTACAGACACCACCCAAATGGAACCGAGCTCACTCTCCTCCCAACCCTTTCTCATCTAAAAATGCTAGCGGTTTTTCTGCATCAATCCACTGCCTGCAAGTCCTACCAGGCTTCAGGTCGAACCGGAAGTGAGGGGTAAACCCTCCAAGAGCTGATCTCCTTACAAACTCACCTACCACTCGCTCTTCTGTTGCAGCAGAACGTTTTTTGCCAGTCAAGGAAATGGCTCTCTGCCAGAACAAAAGTGCGCCTAAATAACTTACCCAAGAGTCTTGGATTGGTCTTTTACAGAGTTAGCAGCTTGTGACGCAAACACAGCCTCCCCGCAGCCAATCACCAGCCAGTCTGAAAGGATTGCCATCAGTTCTACTTCTCAGGTTTCTTTTGGGGGCGGGGGGTGGGGGTTTAGAATTGTCTCAAACTGGGACAGGACTCTAATAGATCTGACTGGGCAGGGCTTGAAAACGCGGGAAAAGACCTGAGCTGGGCCCCTGAGAACCACCTACTTCGGGGTGGAGGTTGGAAGCTGAGCCCTGACTCACCATTAGGGCTAGGGCAGAGAAGCACAGACTCTGGGTTCTGCATTGCCATTTGCTACCGCTGAGGCAGGGGCTCAACTGAGGCTCACCGAAGGCGTGGGGAGATGAGAGTTAGGAAAACTCGGGTGGTTTCCCAGGAGGCAACAACTCCAACAAGGGCAAGGTACAGACCAAATGCCCTTGTCAGGAATCGACTTTCAAAACGTACATTAGCTTATGTAGCTCTTTCTTGTAGTTGTTCCAAAGAGTATCGTAATTTTTTTGTCTTTCTTTTGTCTGTAAATATGTGCTTTTATTAACATGATTCTTCAGATTGCTTAATCAGGTTATTGAACTCTCTTTTGAATCATAAAAATAGGTATTAAAATTTCATCAAAACCATAAACTATTTGGATAATGAGTCTTTTTTTTTTATTGGAGAGGGAGGGGAGTGCTGGAGGGGGAGGGAAATGGGAGGTGGGGAGGAGGTGGATATTTTTAATAATAAAAAATTCAAAAAAGAGTATAGTAATTTTTAAAATTCAATGCTTCTTTAATATAGATGAAATTGTTTAACAACTGCATTTCCCATATCCATCTACCAAAAACAGGAAGACTAAAAGTGTTCGAGAATGTTTCAGTGTATCTAATATTCCCAAAATGCAAGAAGGCAGTGTCTGAACAAGAAGAACTATGTGACTCAGAACACAGGATGACCGAGTCTACTGTGGTTATCAGTGTCAAAGTATTTATAGACACACCTCAAGAAAATACTGTGTCAAATTCTTACCAGAAATTATCTCTGATTGCTAACTTCCACGGCTGCCATGGGAAGCAGGTCCTAGGTAGGTTTTGCCTTAAGTGAAAGGATTTCTGGCTAAGGAGCTGATGTGCCCAAGCCCACAGCTTGGAACAGAGATGGAATTCAAATGCAAACATCAGTTTCTTGTAAAGGAACTTGCAGTTGAGGAATTCTAAACATATTCTACTCAATTTGATGCAAAAATCTGGACCTCCTTTAAGATGGAGGAGAAGGATGGTAAACGCCAGCGAAAGAAGTAGAAAAGGAGTTGGGTAAGATGAGCAAGACGATTTGTAAAAAGCTATCAGAAAGAGCTCGAGAAAGTTTATCTAAAACAATAGTTAGGAACCTGCGTTACTATCTGAGTTTTGTTTGAAGAAATATTTTCTCTGTATCTTTCAAACAAATGAACAATTTAAACAAAATATTCAAAGCTTTAACAGTGCTGAAAACCACTAGAAAAGCAAAGACCACTGAGAGAGGAGCAACACCTGTGTTCAATACCTCACCCTCTCAACAATGCCTGGGATAGGACATCAGTTACAGAATTGTCATGGAGGTGAAGGCTCTGCATATATGAGCTAGATATTTCACAAGTCTGACAAACCCACAGACCACAGACATGTTTTGAGTGGATTTTTGTTCCACTGTGTGCTGGAGGGTACCAGGTGGTGCTCTATTCTACAGCCAACGAATCCTACCTAGATTTCGCATCTTCCCCAGAACTGAGGGAAGAAAGTCATCTAAAAGAGGGAGTCTTTCAAATGGAAGCTGTTCTGTTTGCTCACCATGCCGCAGGTCTTTATACTCTGCTCTGGGTGTAAGAGGAGCAAACAAAGCAAAATGAAACAACCCTGAAACGGGCTGTAGTATGCACCAGGGAGGGGGCAGGGACACCTTTGATTTCACGTCTCTTATGTAGAGCAGAACTTGTTGTCAACACTTGCTTTGGAAAACAGACAGGAGTGTGACTTGTGCCAGTCAACTCGGTTTAACAACGTTCAATTTGGTATTTCTTAGACCAACACCCCACACGTGGAATCTCCCTGGGTCGTGAGTGCTCCATCTCTTGTCCACTGAAGTTACTCTGATGACCAATAGCAGGACCCTGAATCACATGGAGGATTTCACCCCTGAGAAGATGCAGGACTAAACTGGCTCGGTTTCCTCTCAGAAAGCTCCTGATTGCTCCACAGTAGAGCTTGAGGCCAGGTGCAGATTGCACAGGGCAGTGCTTGAGAAGTCCCAAAGGAGGAGTCAGCACTCTGGAGGAGGACATCTGTAGCAGTTCTTGCAGAGAGCGCTGTACACTTGCTTAAAGGAAATCCTGAACTCTTGGCTGGAGAAAACATGAGACACCAGGTTCTGCAGCTTGTGGAGGGGAGACAAGCAGACCCTGAGAGTATGGAGGAAACCTGTGGGGTTCCTGGCTTCCTATGGGCCAACCTCTGCATGTGCCAGATGTAAGAACATGAACGCCGTGCCTTCAACAACATGCGTGGACAAATGTGTAATTTTTCATCATTTTTAATTTATTTAACATACCAACAACAGTTTCCTCTCCCTCCTCTCCTCCAATTCCTTCCCCCCATCTCCCTTCTTACCCCACCTCCCTTCCCCCCATTCCTCTCCTCCTCATTCTCCATCCAGACAGGGTGAGGCCTCCCTTGGGAATCAGCAAAGCCTGGCATATCAAGTTGAGGCAGGACCTAGCTTCTCCCTGCATCAAGGCTTAACAAGTAGTCAGGATTTGCTGCCCTGAGATTCAGCTATTAGTGTTTCAGACCTTCCTCATAGCTGCCTGAGGAGGGTTAGTGACAGCTGAGCCAGAGCAAAGTGCAGACACTCTGGAACATTCTCCTTCTGCCGAACGTTTCATTCCATCTTGCGTGCCACAGGTGGAAAGGAGAGAGATTCTGATTGCCAACGGTTCTGAAAACTTGTTAGCAATCATGCATCACTGCCAGTGATGAAGAGAAAGTATCCTACCAGTTTAGAATAGAAAATGCCCAAGTTTCTGTAAACGTGTGTATGAGCCATTAAGTGAGACTAAAGATGGCTTCAACGTTTAAAAAGCCAGTGAGAACAACAATTTTGGAAACTGATTTGAGTGCTATCATAGTCATCTTTCACTGGGGACTAATCTCAGAACCTCATGCATGCTAGGCAAGTGCTCAACCAGTGAGCCACATTTCCAGCCATGTTTACACATTAAAATGAACGCATTGCAGGTCAGAAAAACATAGTATTGCCTTGAAAAACCCGATTCTCTTAAAGAGAGAAAACGGGAACAAATACTCTCCCACCTTCAAAACTCTTCACTGCGCATTTCTACATCCTCCTGATCTATTAACTCTTCACTGCCCATTTCTACATCCTCCTGATCTATAAACTCTTCACTGCGCATTACTACCTCCTGCTGCTTTACACAAACATCATCATACCATAGTTTATGTTTTTGCTTAATATCGGCAAGGATGGATTCCATCTTTATGCCAACCTCAATAACATTATAAACTCCGCTTTCATACTCACAAATGAGGCCAACAGTACGCATGGCTACTAGAGAACCTTTACAATCAAATAGTGGACACCCAGGAGAGCCATTATAAAAAATATTATAGGTAAAGTCATTAGGCTTGACATTCATTTCTTGGAAACTTCTTTTTGTACACATAGGGAGTAACTTAGAATAATGGCTATGCCCTGCTGCTTCTGTTCCATGAACAAATTGCTGACTCTTCTCTTTTCCTTTACCTTGAGTGACCACTGCACAACGGTCAAAAACCTTGTTTCCATTTTCATGGCCAATCATGTATATCAACTCACTGGGAAGTACAAGAGCTATTCCATTATTATACAGTCCGGCAGGCACGTGTTGACCATTGTCCTTCAGTTTCAGGACAGCATAGTCAAGAGTGTCATCAGATATGAGAAGCCAAGGTTCGATGTGAAAGCAACTGTTGAAGTTTGAGGTTGGCTCTTCAGAATATTCGTCATCAAATATCACCCTTACACATTGGCTAATTAGGTCTAGACACTTACTTGGCTTTCTTCCTTTTCCCACAATATCATTTAATACATGTCGACAAGTGAAAATGTACAGCCCTCTGAAAACAAAGCAAGTGGCTTTACCCCTGTTTCCATTACAGTCCCAAAGTATGAGCCCAGTGGAATCCATGAAGCGTGAAAGAAGTTTGACCATTTGATCTGGAGTAGAGCTTTTGGCCACTTCACTGAACTTTTTCTCATGGGCTTTGAAAAGCGACTCTTCTTTACTATTCTCACACTCTTCCTTGATATATGCTCTCACTTTCTCCAATTCTGCTGCCCAAGAGCTTTCCTTTCTCTCAACATCAGTCTGAAAGAGCTTACCCTCTAACACATCTACTGGCTGGCTGTTTGCTACGATGGTGTCATTATTAATGAGTTTCCAATGGTCACTCTCTACAAAAGAGCGAAACCTGCCATCCTTTCTCAGAGTGGTCTTGATGGTCTCTCCCTTGAAGCCATAGACACAGAGTTTGGTACCTTCCTTGTGAAGGTCCCTGCACCTAAGAATCCTTTGCTCCCTATTCCCGACTGCATGAATGTAAAATACAACACACTCAGCAGATGACTGGTCAAAGCGGCCACACACTTCATTATTTTCTTTCTCCTCACTTTCAGTTTTGGAAAATGTAATGACCACATGGCTGCCTTGTGGTAAACAACGGAGGGGCATACCGAGGTTTATGTACCCTTCTGTTCCCTCTTTGCCACACACCAGCATTTCTTTACCTGGCTGTTTTTCTATCTCACTTTTGACAAGGTCATGGGAGTTCAGGGCTTCATATAAGCTACCTGTCTCCCTATGGGTGAGATTGTAGAGATTATTCTTGGGGTTTCCC